AGCTGGAGCTTCCAGGACCACAGCGTGTCCCTGGAGACAGAGTGTAACCTTCACATTCCAGTGGGAGACGGGAAGCCCTGGGCGGAGGACGAGGTGCTGAGTCCTCTAAGGACTCACCCCTTCTGCTCTGGAGGCTGGGAATGCTCGGAGCCTGTGAGGGTGGGCTTGGGGGTGTCAGAGCAGCATCTCCCTGAGGGAAAGGCCCAGGCTGGGTTTCCTGCAGCCTGGCTGCCAACCCGAAAAGAGCAGCTAAGTGTTATTGATCCAGCTCCAGGGGGAATATTTGCTAGGAGGTCTCTGGCACCACCCCATCACTTAGCTGGTATTTATTATTCAGTGGTGGGGACGGGGACGCACAGAAGGGCTGGCATTCTGCCGCCTAGTGAGCTTGGCCTCACAGGAGCAGAGATGACATGTGAACGGAGAGGCAGACACACAGCCTGGAAGAGTCAAGGACTCCATCCTGGGAGAAAGGGCATCTGTAAATGGTACCAGGAGGAATTCTGCCTCCCAGACACACGGGACCTTCCCAGCCCTGGAGGCTCTCACTTATGACTGGAGAAGGAGAAAAGAATCCTTGGGTGGTACTAGGCCTGGCTGTCCTCTGATGGACTTTTGCAGCCTCAGTTTCCTCAATGTCCACTCACACAATATGTCCCACCCATTTATAATGGTGCATTGCAATGCAACTGTGCCTTACTGTGAGGAATAAGAAGTCAGCCCAGGGCCCTAGAGCCGTCAGCGTGGTGCACTAAACAAGATCTGAAGGATGCAGATCTGGCCCCTTCCTACCCTGTGGTTGACCTACTGTTACCTGGAATTGTCCAACTAGATAATGTTGATCACAGGTATCACAGGTAACACATCAGACACATACCAGCTATCACCACTGCGTGGCTATTATTACAGTTATCATGCCACAACCTAATGTAGCCTTAAAAACAGCTGTGAGGAATGATGAGTCTCCGTCATGCACAAGCACAGTACTGTTTGGAAAGAATCCAAAAATCCATGGGGAGAAGAAAGGGTAAGAGAACTGTGACATCTTCACCCAACGGAGTATTGTTTTAGCAGAGGAAATTGAAAGAAATGAGCTTCCTATAATGACATCGGTGAACATGACGAGTGGGAAAAAAGCAAATCCTAGAAGCTGCAGATTAGACCTCAAAATTAAAACCATGAAATGAGCAACACAGGAATACGTTGAAAGGTGATAACATTGGGAAACAAAGCAAAGCAAAGAAGAATAAAAGATTTAGGATGATTGCTACCTTGGGCTGAGCTGAGTGGCGAGGGAGGGGACCAGGCTGGGTGAGGACACATTCAGATATGTTGTTCACATTGTTCTCGATTTTGAGTTGGGTGGAGAATAAAAAGGAGGGAATGAATGTGAACGAATGAGCAAACAAGCAGGCTAGGCCTGGAGTAATGTTGTCACCAAGAATTAGGATTAATCCAATTTTTAGTACCAAGAGTCCAAAATACAATTTTTCACTTAAAGAAAAGTCTATCAATGTGCGTGTATATACGTCTGTATCTATTTGGTGCTGGATTCTCAAGTTGACATTCTAGGACCAAAATGGCTTTTTTTCAATGGAGGGTGGCAGTGCCTCTCTAGAGCCCACTGTACCCAGAAATAGCCCTGCCATACACCCAGTTGGGGAGAGGTGGGCACCAGTCTCTCCCACGTGCTGGAGTGTGTATGCATGTGAAGGATTTCCAGTTGGCCCTCCATATCCCCAGGTTCGACATCCCTGGACTCAACCAAATGTAGATTGAAACTATTAAAAGAAGATGCGTCTGTACTGAACCTGGGCAGACTTTTTTCTTGTCATTATTCCCTAAAGAGAGGACTATTTACATAGCGTTTTCATTGTATTAGGTGTTTAAAGTAATCTAGACATAATTTGATGTATACAGGAGGATATGTGTGAGTTATTTTATATAAAGAACTTGAGTAAAGTATCCATGGACTTTGCTATCTGTAGGAGAACTTGAAACCAACTCCATGGATACTGAGAGACAGCTATATACCCTGGGGGCAGAATTTTAACTGGCACTAAACTATGGTCAATAATCCTTCTATAAGTATTCTTATGCTCCCTATTAATTTTTTCCTTTGACTGGCTAGGTAGTAGTAGATTTGCTGGATCCTTCGGTGTATGTATGTTCAACTTGGCTAGATAATGCCATTCCACAAAGTAGTTGTGCCAATTTATACTTTCACCTGAAGCTTGAGAGTTCTAATTTCTCCTCATTCTTACCAACACTTAATATTGTCAGTTATTCTAATTTTCATCACTGTGTTGGATGAAGGTGTCGCTCATTATGGTTTTATTTTGCATTTCTTTGAAAATGAGATGGTAAGCATCTTTTCATATGTTCATTGCCTGCTTGGGCATTTTTCTTCATGATGTGGTTGAGTCTTCTTCAATTTCCTATGGGATAATTGACCTTTTTTCTTACTGAATTTTTATATACTTTATATATTTTGTATAAGAGTACTTTTGGAAAATATGCATGTTTTAAAATTGTCTTGGCTATTCTTTCTTGGGATTTCCATCTAAATTTTAAAATAAAATTTAATTGTATCTATAAATGAAAAGACCAGAAAAGCCCATGTGCAGAAGATTGGATGAATGAATTGTGATGTAGCCACACAAAGGAATATTGCATAGCAGTCAAGAAGAATGAAACTCTCAGACATGCAGAAATACAGATGGGTATTAGTAAAATCTTAGCAAGTGAGAGAAGAAAAGGCTCAGAATATTATATGCAGCACAATGTCATTTTTATAATGGTAAAATCTACTAAAATAAAAACCTCTTGAGGAATACCTATAGATGAGTCATCACTATATTAAAAGGAAGAGGGGAACAAAGTACTTAGTAGTTACTTGGGTGAGGGTAGGAGGAGGATGGGGTGGGATATCTCCATATATTGGTAGAAATTGTTATCAAGATGCTGGGTTTCAGGCTGGTTGGTGGATTGTGGGTACCAACCCCACTGTGAAAAATATACACAGTGAATGAAGATCCAGTGATGGATGAGTCAAGGACACGATTAATCGGACTCAGTGCAGCCAAGGTCCACCTAAAGAAAAAGCTGAGCTTGAAAGATTGAAAGAGATCACCATGGTCAGACTCCTTGTTGGGGGGCCCCCCGTCTTCCCTTCACAACCCCTCACGTGCTGAGTAGCATTGCTAGTGTCAAGGTATGCATTATAAAAATCAATTGGGTTTAACTGGTTTTTGGAAAAGTCATTAGAAACATAAGCTGTGTTGTTTTCTTCCCGTACCCCAATGGATCTTGCATATTTCTGGGTGTATACTGGCCAGTTTAAAGACATCTCCCCTAAGTAAGTGACATCTTGGGTTGACTTTGATTTTAGATAGCTCACCTGTTGGTGTGGGGTAGATGAACAGAAGGGCCATAGTTAAGGCAAAGGAACACACAGAAGGCTGTCGGTGTACCCCCAGTGAGACAAGAATTTAAGGGATGGCTTTGCAAAAAAGAAAGAGGTGAGGAATTTGAGAGGTTTGTAGGAGAAGGAATTCTTAGGACTCGGTTTTCTTACCAGCGGACCATCGGGGAGCTGAAAGAATTATGAATTTATTATTCTCCTCTTGCGTTTGCCATTCCTCTCAGCCCCAGGATCTGTTTGCTCCCAGCTTGCGGGCCTCTCCTGCTCCCGTAGAACATTGACACTTTCTATGGGTCCCAGAGCAATTCCAGCCTCAGATCTGATTCTCTCTCACTGATGGGCTAATTGGCAGCACCCTCCCTGATGACAGGCTTCAGATGTTGAAGGCAAATTAAGCATTCCTTGGTGGATACTGATGTTATTGAAACCTGGAGGCTGGTGGCTTGGGGGTGGGCTTTGCATTTCAGGGACACATAGCACAGCTGCCTCTCAGCTCCCTGAGCCTGGTCCATTCTGCTGCTCCTGACAGCAGCCCATCAATCAATCACCTTGGATACCTCCTCAGGATGGTTTAGTTGCAAGCTTCACATAGATTCTGGACTGGGCTTAGAAGAACCAAGGTCCTAGAGGGTAAATCGGCCACAGGCAAGTGTCCAATCCTTAGACATCTGGTGGAGAAGGCCACATGTTTGGCCAAGGAGACCAAAGACTTAAAGCATCTGGGGCTAGAAGGGCACTTGCTGCTTTGGGGAAGCCAAAGGACTGTGCTGTTGAGACACCAACCAACACAGGCTCTGCTCCCCTCATAGCATGGAGGTATGGAACAAAATGCATCTTAGGATATGGACACAAGTGTCACTGGGAAGAAAGCAGGTGGCATGGGACTGTGCAAACCGTCACCAGCCCTTGAGAATGATGTGGCCCTGGGTGGGTTAGCATTGCACAGAGCCCTGGTCTCCTGACCTCTGGCTAGAAGGGGATTATGGGGATGAGCATGTGTGGCAATGCCTGGCCACAGAAGAGCCTCGGGGACCTCATTTTCTTCTTCATGGTTTGGTGCGGATTGGGAGGAGGTGGGAGGCTGGGCGGGATGGGGGTGAATTGCAGGATTGCAGTTCAATTGCTGCCTCCTGTGTCTCTTGAGAGCCGTTTCTCTCCAGTTGAGGCTGGAAGAGAGGCGGGAAACAAGTCGTTTGCACGACACATGGGAAATGTCTGGGGCTCTGGATCTGGAAAATGTGGGCAGCTTACGACCCGAGCTTCAGTTTTCTTTTGTATAAACTTGATTCCTTGCTTGTGTTCGTCAGCTTTCCACCTCTGTAACGAATTAATTACCTGAGGTAGCAGCTGAAAGGAGGAAGGGTTTATTTTGGCTCATGGCTTCAGAGGTTCCAGTCCCTGGCTGTGTGGACCTGCGGCGGGGCAGAGCATCATGGTGGGGAGTGTGTGGGAGAGCAGAGCTGCTCACGTCATGGCGGCCAGGAGTGGCAAAGGGGAAGGAGGGGGCAGGATCCCACTGTCTCCTTGTGATGAAGAGCCCTCAGCGACCTAACTTCTTCCACTAGGTCCCAGCTCTTTAAAGTTCCACCAGCTCCCAGGAGTGCCATCACCTGGGAGCCAAGCCTTTAACACCTGGCCTCTGGGGGACACTCCAGCTCCATCTGTGACACTCACTGCTCATGGGATTGTGGTGAAGGTGAAAGGAGATCATGTCACGGAGCTCTGGGGACACAACCCGTCATCCTCAAATGTGAGAAGCCTCCCCTGTCTGTTTCCTCGTCCTTCCCCTCAGAACACACTCTTGGGCCCATGTCCGTGGTGTCCGGTGGCAGGTGGAGTCAGAGGGTGAAGGTAGCGGAGGCAGAAGGGGGTGGGACGGAAGCTCTCCTCCATGAAGAGGTTCTGGACCCCGAGGGCCTCTTACATGGTCAGGATTCTGGATGACAAGCAGAGAAAACAGACTCACCTCCATGGAGCGCCCAGCATGGCAGAGAGACTGGAGAATGGGGATTGGGGATGGCGGGGACCAAGGCAGGGCCAAGGGTCCGGAGGCAGCCGCTGCCTGTTGGTGGCAATTGGAAAGCGCTTGGTCACAATGGCTGCCACCAGTGGTCCTCAGGGTCTGTTCCTCTGCTCGAGATTCAGTCCAGAGAGCGGGCATCCTGGGGCAGAGCCCCGTGGGACAGTATTAAGATAAAAGGTGGGTAGTATTAAGGTCATCGGGGTCCCTGTCTCACAAAGTGAGTTTTTGCAAGAGCAAGTTATTATCATTTTTTTAATAAAATAAGCCTGTCTTCTTATCTGTCTTTTCTCCCTCTTGCATGTGCTCTTATCATGTCATCAGGTTGTGAACCACACAAGGGGGTCTTTATAGGAGGCTGGGGGCACCTGACCTTGGACTTTCAGTCTTCAAAGTTGTGAAATAAGCAAGGGGCAGTTGCACATGCTGGTAGTTCCAGCTACTTGGGGGGCTGAGGTAGATTTGCTTGAGTCCAGGAGTGAGCATGGGCAACATAGAGAAACGTGATCTCAAAACAAAACAAAACAATAAATCTCCAAAAGTCTATGAGCTTAATAAGCCTTTTTTCTTTATGAAGTACCCAGCCTCAAGTATTTTGTTATAGCAATGGAAAAAGAACTAATATAATGGCAAAGAGGTACATGGTGTTTAGAATGTGGTTAGAATGTGGTGTATTATTTACATTAGCTCCTTTAACCAGCCTATAGGATATTGTTATCATCCCCATTGGACAGTTAGGAAAAATGAGATTCAGAGAAGTTAAATAATTAGTTGATGTCACATAGCTAGGAGCTAGAATTTGAATGAACCTGTTTTTTTTTTTGGGGGGGGGCAGTGGCAGTGCTGGGGATTGAACCCAGGACCTTGTGCATGCTAGACAAGCACTCTACCAACAGAGCTATATCCCCAGTCCCTTAACCTGGTTCTCAATGCCTACACAATGCTGTCCACTTCACCTTTGCCCACCTGAAAATCAAGTTTGAGACCATCAAGGAATCTAGTGGTACCAAAGAAAGCTGGCTTGCTCAGGCTTCCAGGGGTGTGAGAACACTAGAGACGCCTGGTGGTCTTGCTGTTCTGGTCTCCCGCTTCCTGAGGCTTTCTCTCGTCCTCCACCTGAGCATCTGTGCTCTTCTACTCAAGGATGGGTGGCCCTGCTGAGGAGGATGGGGGAGAGGGGCAGGGAGGCAAGCCTGCGCTTCATTTAACGTGCACAGGGAGGACAGGAGGCACACAGGTTTCCGACCTCACAACAGGAGAACTACAGTGGCACTTGGTTGACTTGCAGTGGGAGTTGTTCAAGGCGGATCACTGAGGGAGGGCGGAGTTTGAGAGGCCAGGAGAGCCAAGGGGTAAGGTGAGCACGGAATTTCAGCTCTCTCTCTCTCTCTCTCTCTCTCTCTCTTCTCTCCTCCATACCCTACACAGCTCCCGGGCAACTCGGAGACTGGAGGGTGAACAGAAGCCTGGTGTTCTAGATTCAACCTCCCTACCACAGTCCAACCCCTGGGAGCTTCAGAGATGGCACCCTCCAGACGTTCAGGTAGACGAAGGGTCTTGAGGAAACCCCCTGTGGCTTCTGGTCAGGAAATGCTGCATTTCCAAATCCCTGTCTTCAGTGTGGCTCTGCGGAGGGGTGACCTGCAGGGGCCCTGGAGACGGTCCTCCCAACCTTCTTGTGGGATTGTCTTGGTGGAGGGTGGTGGTGGGTGACACGTGGGGAGGGGGACAAAACTGGACGCAGAGGAGCAGCTTGTCCCAGGGGATGACACCTCCCTCCTCTCCTCTTCTGGGAAAGTGTGGGAATGGGAGCTGGAGCCGGGCGCTATGGAGACTCTTGTCCCAGCAGCCTTTCCTCTGGGCCCCCCATTCTTTCCTTGGCACATTCTCCTTCCCTTCCAAAGTTTCGGGAGGCTGCATCAGGGTTTGGGTCACCCCCTTCTGCCCTGCAACTAACACCGTGTTGGGGAATTCCGAGGGCTCCCTGCCCCTCCTTGGCCCTGGCCTCTAAGGCAGTGGCCAAGTCCACAAGTACCACCCCAAGGGCAAATCTCTGACTCCTGATCTAAACTTTTTCTCCCCGTCAGCCACGAGCTCCCTGGGGAGACCCAGGGTGGACAAGGACATTGTTATTAAAAATGACTCTTCAGAAAGATGTGTCCCAGACACCTATGGACATCCTACTATGGAAAGCAGCATTTCAAAGCGTCCATCACCCTGATGGCTTTTCCCTCCTCCCTCATTGCCAGAGTTGAGGTTCTTAGCTTTCGGGGCATCTTCTGCGCAGCACCCCCACCCCGTCTTGACCTCCCTGCCCTCCCTAGGTTTTGCATGGACTGAGCACCAGAGGAAGAGGACGCTGGTTTAGTGGAAGAGTTGAAGGTGACCTTTATTGAGTCCTACAAGAGATAACAATCCCTGCAATCAACAAGCCTGGCTCCTCTGGATACTAAAATAGCCACTGTGGGGTAAGTGTGCCCCCCCACACTCTCCTTCTCTTCAGGACAACACAAAGAAACTCTAGGGGTGAACTGGGAGATCACAGGATCTTTTAACAGCCTGAAAGCCTGAAGAGAAAGTCCCTGTGTGTGTCATCTGCAGCTAGTCAGAGCAGAAGAGCTGATCATGTCACCCCTGTCCCCACTTCCCCGAATTCAGCAAACTCTGTCCTTTCCATAATGATCTATGTGTCCTCGGTTCACGGGGTGGCAGCAATGGTGCACCCCATTTTGGAGAGCAGGAAACTAAGGTCCAGGGAAGAGTGGTGCCCGCTCAAGGTCACCCAGGCACAGAGGAGCCAGAGACCAATGTCTGCATCCTAAGGGTTTCTGCACAGGATGTCCACGGGGGAGGGAATGTGTTCTTGGGATTGATTGCTGGACCGCGGAGCATTTGATAAAGGGATGATTATTTTCCAGTGCTCACAACCCCCACTGGCTCCCACCTACCCTCTTCTCCCCAGGCTGGGCCCGAGCTGTTGACTGACTGTTGAAGCACCCAACGGGTAGTTGCCAAGGTGGGAACAGATGGAGTGGGAGCAGAGTTCCTCCACCCTGGGAAGGGGAGTAAAAGGCTTTTCAGGTTGGAGTTGTTAGGGAGGTGACATGCAGGTACATCTGGTGACAAATTGTGGATGGGAGAAAAGAATCTTGCAAATACATTGTCTGTTTGTCTGTCTGTCTCCTCTCTCTCTCACACAGATTTGTCTTTTGGAAGGAATGAGATAAGAGGTGGGCCTAGGAAATAACGACTCTGTATTTTAGTCAGATTTCTCTTTGCTGTGACCCAAAGATCTCACCTGAACAATGTAGAGGAGGAAAGGTTTATTTTGGCTCCTGGTTTCTGCGGTTCGGTCCATGCTGGCCCACTCCATGCTCTGGGCATGAGATGAGGCAGAACATCATGGTGGAAGGCAGGGAAGAGGGAATCGGCTCCAGGCACCGAAACCAGGAAGAGAGAGAGCGCTCTGCTCGCCAGGGACAAACTATAACCCCCAAAGCCACGCCCCCAGGGACGTAAATGCTCCAACCACACCCTCCTGCCTCTAGTTAACCCACACTCTCATAATCTGATCAGCTCACCTCTGCATGATCTTGATCGCATCCCACATGAGTCTTGGGGGACACCACATATCCTAACCATGACACTCTGCATTCTGCTCATTTTAAGCATGGCAAAGGAGGTCGTTCTAAGGGTCACCCACCTTGGACAACCCTCTGCCACTTTATAGAGAATCAGGATACAGGTGGCTGTGGGTGCAGAACCTACCCATGTGATGGGGAGAGACCATAAGTGGGATTACTTTATAGACAGATTTTAGCCTCATAAACTGTTAAAGTTAGAGAGACACTAAAAGGTCATCTAGTTTAATCCTATCAATGTTTGGATGAGAAAACTGAACTCAGTGATATGCCCAAATAAACATTGCTAATAAGCAGCAGAATGGATCTGGAACTCAGGTTCCTTCTGGTCTGAGGTTCTGTCGGGCATCCCCCTAATTAGAGCCGTGTCATTCCACCAAATGCACATTGAAGGTCAGCTGAGTTCCATTCCTTGGCAGGCTGGAGAGTATAAGCTCCTAGCCCTACCTTGAGTACTGCACTATATTGAATCTCTCTTCCAGGAAACCTAAGATATGGCTGTTCAGAAGAGTCTCAGAGAAATACATAGGACGCAAGAGAAAATAATGAGATTAAGTGGGATGATGAGATAGATCAATGTAGGCAATGTGGAGATCTAGCCTTTAAAATTCCTCAACGAAGCTGGGGATATAGCTCAGTTGGTAGAGTGCTTGCTTTGCATGCACAAGGTCCTGGGTTCAATCCCCAGCACCCCCCCCCCCACAATACACACACAAAAAAGAAAATTCCTCAAAGATAGGTACTAACAGCCATGATAGAGAAGGTAGGATTGATTGATGCCCTCACCTTAAACAACTGAAAAATCAAAGCAAAGGATGGAACAATAGTTTTCAGATATTGAACAGCAGGTAGTGCAGGAGAGGGACCCCTGAGAGAAAGGAACTGAAGAGGTGCGCCCCAGGGTTGAACCTGCTCACTCCTAGAGCCCGTTCTGATGCCTCAGCGTGGGGTGAGGGTGGTGATCGTGTGCACTGGAGATAGCAGAGCCTGCCGAGGCCAAGGCCAGCACAGCCTGCAGGGCAGGTAGCTCAGAGGGTGGGAAGGAGTTACGTGGCGAGCACTAGGGAGCTGCAGGAAGCCTCCCGAAGCTCTGGCTGAGTGCTGATCTGAACATGCATAAAAGGAAACGCAGGGCCAGAGGGGAGCCCCACTGGAGAGCAGGAGTCCAGACAACCGCTCTAGCTCAGGAGGGTGGGGCAGATTCATGTTCCCACTGGCTTGAGGGGAAACATCTCATAAATGGGGCATGGAGGAGACTCCTCAGAAGAGTATCTTCTCCGTCGCAGAGCCCCAAACAGGCATGCATTAGCAGTTGTCCTGGATCTGACCTAACAAGGCTTACAAGCAAGCCTCAAAAATATCCAACTGATTCTAAGTAAGTTAAGTGTGAGTGAGAGGCAATCTAACACACATTTATATAATTAGAAGACATTAGAAAAATCCAGGATTTAGATGTAAAACTGACGGGAAATCAATTAATAGAAACGGACCTAGACATTATGGAGGATGGGATTAGCAGACAAGGATGTTAAAACAGTTATTATCAAAAGTGATCTGTATACAAACTAAGCATAGGAACATGTGAAAAGAAATAGAATATATACACACACACACACACACACACACACACACATATATTCAGATACGCATACATATGTACATATGCACAAGAGTATGTATATAAAGGTCAAGTGGCACTTTTAGAGATGAAACCATATTTGAAATGAAAAAATACACTGAATGGAATTGGCAGTGGATGAGACTCTGCAGACATAAAAATCAGTGAACTGAAGGATGTAGCATAAAAATGGTTCCAAATTAAGCATGGAAGAAAAAGACTAAAAAATAAACCAGCACCAGAAACCAGAGATACAGTCTTAAATTTTCTACCGCATGTAACTGGAGTCATAAATGAGGAGAAAAGAGGAGGATAGAAATGCTCTTTTTAAAAATGGTCAAAATATTTCTAGATACAAAGATCCAATTGGCCAGTAATAGGAACAAGAGATGGAATTGGACATAACTTTCCTGTGCTCACATTTGAATCCACGACCAGTGTAACTCCACATCATGTTCAATCACAAAAACTGGAAGTTATACTCCGTGTATGTATAATATGTCAAAATACACTGTACTGACATGTATGTCTAAAAAGACCAAATAAAATAAAGAGATGGGACATTTCAATGGATCTTATGGGGGAAAATGAACCTCCAAATCCAGCAATTTTGACAAAGCTAACGTAGAAGAAACAAAGAAAATCACATCAGGTGGTATCATAATCAAATGGGTTAAAACCAGGAATAATCAGGAAATTGTAAAAGCAGCCAGAAGCAAAAAGACATGTTATATAGAAAGGGGCAGAGATAAAAATGATAGCGTATCTCTTGTTGCAAACTAAGTAAAACAGAAATTAAAGGATTAATACTTTTAAGTTAAGATAGAAAAACCATTAATTCCCAGCCTAGAATTCTGTACCTAGCAAAAATATCTTCTAAAAATGAAAGGGAAATGAAGACTTTGTCAGACAGACAAAAGCTGAAGAGAATAATATATCACAGCAGACCAGCACTGTGAAACAGACAGACAAGCAAACAAAAACTTTTAGCCAATCACGGTGGCACACCCCTGTAATCCCAGTGACCCAGGAGGCGGAGGCAGGAGGATCGTGAGTTCAAAGTCAGCCTCAGCAACTTAGTGAGGCACTAAACAGGGAAACCCTGTCTCTAAATAAAATATTTTTTAACAAGGCCTGGTAATGTGGCTCAGTGATAAGCACCTCTGGGTTCAATCCCTGGTACAAAAAAAAAAAATCTTTCTGGCAGAAAGAAATATGAGAATAGATACGAATTTGGATCTGTATAGAGGAGTGAAGTGTTTTCTAAGTGTTAAATATATGGATATATATAAACAAATTGTTTCGCATTTCATAATAATTGACTTCTTTAAGAAAAATATAATCAAGATGTATCTGTGGTTTATAGAAGTGGTTGAAATAAGTACATGACAATAAGGGATGACCATGTGATAAAGTGGCATACACTACACTAAGAAGCTTCTTTTTTTTTTTTTTTTGTACCCAGGATTGAACTCAGGGGCACTCAACCACTGAATCACATCCCCAGCCCTATTTTGTATTTTATTTAGAGACAGGGTCTCTCTGAGTTACTTAGCACCGCACCATTACTGAGGCTGGCTTTGAACTTGCGATCCTCCTCTCTAAGCCTCCCGAGCCTCTGGGATTACAGGCATGCACCCAGCTACTCTAAGCTTCTTATACTGCATGTGAGGAATATTGGATGAGGTTGAGATAAATTAGCAATCACAGAATTAAAAAGAAAAACGAGATGGCTAATATTGGAGATAAAATAATGTCATGATGTGGTTAATTAAAAGCTGGAAAAAGAAGAGAAAAAAAAGAAAACAGATGGCAGAAGGAGAAAACAACTAAATAGGGTAGTAGATGTAAATTCAACCATTTAAATAATTATGTCAAATGTAAAGACTCAACTTTCCAATTAAATGAATTGTCGGGATAAAAAAAAAGAGCAAAACCCAAACACATGCTACCTACATAAAAGCTATTTTCAATATAAAACAAATAGGTTAAAAGAATGGAAAAAGATACACTATGCTAACATTAAAAACAAGGTTGATGCCTTCATTAATATTAAGCAATTGAGACTTCAGGGTAAGCATGTCCCCAGAGACAAAACGGAACATTGGGACATTACCCATTGACTTAAGTTTTCAAATCACCAAGAGGACATGAAAATCCTCAATGCGTACACACCTAAACATACAGCTTCAAAATATATGGAGCAAAAGTGATAAAACCAAAAAGAGAGACCAAAAACTCACAACTCCATTTGAAGACTTCAATGACCTTCTTTCAAAAATTATAGAACAATTAGACAGAAATTCTGCAAGGAGCTAGAACACTATTAGCAAACTTGACCTCATAAATATTTATGTCATTCCACTCGACGGGAGCAGACTACAGATTCTTTTCAAATGCACATGGAATATTCACTAAGGCAGACTGTATCTGGCACATAAAATAAATCTCACTAAATTTAAGAGATTAAACAATGTTTTCTGAATGTGACCGAATTAAACTCTAAACCTGCAGAAGAAATATATCTTGAAAAGCCCCAAATATTTGGAAATTAATAGAGTACTTGTAGATAACCCATGGGTCAAATAAGGAATCCAAGGAAACAGAGAATATTTTGGAAAAGATGAAAGTGCAGGTGTGTGGGTTGTAATCAAAGAGGTGATTAAAAAGATGTTTTTAGCATTAAATATTATTGTTAGAAAAGCAGATTGCTTTCAGATCAGTGATCTAAGCTTCTATCTTAAGAAACTAGAAAAGAAGAGCAAATTAAGCCTGTAGTAAGCAGAAGGAAGGAAATCATCAGGGTAAGAGCAGAAATCAGTGGAATGGAAAAGAAAAATAATACTGCAAGACAAAGACGCACAAGCCTATTTTTTCACAAAAGATGAATGAAACTAATAAACCTGTAGCCTAATTGTGCAAAACAGAGAAAAGATACAAATCACCAGTAATAGGAACAAGATATGGAATTGGACCTAACTTTCCTGTGTTCACACATGAATCCCTGAGCAGTGTAACTCCACATCATGTACAAACACAAGAATGGGAAGTTATACTCCATGTATGTGTGATATGTCAAAATGCACTCTACTGTCATGTATATCTAAAAAGAACAAATAAAATAAAGAGATGGACATTAGAACAGGTCTTATGATCATTGAAAAGGTATTAAAGAGAAACAACTTTGACAATAGCAAATTTGATAACTTAGATGAAATAGACCAATTTCTAGTAAGACACAAGATGCAGAAATCAATAACCAGAGTACCCGGACAGTTATTAAGGAGATTGATTCCTAGTTAAAAATCTTCTAGGGGCTGGGGTTGTGGCTCAGTGGTAGAGTGCTTGCCTAGCATGTGTGAGGCACCAGGTTTGATTCTCAGTACTGCATATAAATAAATAAAGGTCCATTGATGACTAAAAAATTATTTAAAAAGAAAAACTTCCAAAAGCAAAATAAAAGAAAAATAAAACTTTTTTGACACATAAACAGGCTCAGCTGTTCTCACTCATGGATCCTATCAAACATTAAAAGAAAAAGTGATATTAAATCTTCCAGGAAAAAGAGAATACACCCCAGCACATTGGAGGAGGCTGGCATTGCCTTCACCAAATATTATGGAAATTAAAACTGGCATCTCCCACATGAATGGAGACACCGTCGCCTTGACAAATTTCAGCAAGTTCAGTCCTTCCATACTGCCTACGACGCACATCACGACCCAATGACATTTATTTTAGGAATGCTGGGTTAGTTTAACATTTGACAACCAATCAATTTAAAAACCTAGGAAAAACGGAAAGATCATTCCGATGAGCATAGAAAATGATGAAATGCTTATGGAAATTAAGAAAAATATGTGCAAGACCTCCACACTGAACGCTCGGAAACAATGCAGGAAGAAATTAAGGAAGACTTAAATAAATGGAGATCCGCATTATGCTCATGGATCAGAATCTGTGAAAATTAGTAAGAGCAAAGACTCAAAGAATGGGTGAAAAGATTTGCTTCAGCAAAGAAGACACACGAATAGCGAATGAGTACGTGAAAGGCTGCGACGTCATCCATCAGTGAGAAGGCAAGTGAGTACAGCGCCAAGCTGCCACTGTCACCAAACTGCAAAGGACCATTTTAGGTTTCCATGAAGATGTGGAACACCTTGAACGCTCAAACTTTGTTGCTGAAGATGCTAAATGGTATACAGTCCACCACTTTGGAAAGTACTGAAGCAGTTTCTTAAAAAATGAGACATACTTTTATTATTCACCCCCAGAAATACTACTCCTAGAATTTCACCCAAGAGAAATAAAAACATAGATCCACACAAAGATTTGTACTTGAATGTTCATGGAGGTTTTATTTCTATTGACTCCAAAGTGAAAACAACTCAGATGTCCACTGGTGGGTTTCTATTGACTCCAAAGTGAAAACAACTCAGATGTCCACTGGTGGGTAAATAAATAAACCAACTGTGGCAAATGCACACACTGGAATAGTATATAACAATGAAAAAGAATGAGCTGGTACGAGCAGCAAGGTGAAGAATCTCAAAAGCCATATGCTACGTGACAGAAGGCGGGCACCAAAGACTATATATTTAATCATTTCACTTATATGACTTTAAAGGCAAAACTATAGGGACAATGCCAGCTCTTGACTTATAGAAAATTACTCATCTTGGTGGGCAACCCTTGAGGAAGGGACTATGAAGTGGAGAAGGTGGAGGTCGGGGAGTCCTGTGTCCCTGTGTGGGAAAGATGGCCGGAGCTCGAAACTCCTCCTCAGCTTCCTCCTGGAGAGCAGGCAGTGTGACACGGGAAGCGAGGGTTTGAACTTAGGGAACGGCGTAGCCAAGGGGCCGCGGGGTGGAAAATCCAGGTAGGATGCTTCAGGCAGCTCTGCTGGTGGCATTAGAGCGTTGGGAGTGCCAGTGCAGGGAACGTTCAGTTAGAGGAGTAGGAGGCCGTTGACGTAGCCCTCATGGTTGTTTTAAGGCATTGGTGAGAAGAACTTGTTAAAGGCCAAAGTTCAGATGCAGGGGCTCTTTTTTTAAATTTCCTTTTGGTTTTGTTTTTGGTGCTGGGGATTGAACTCAGAGGTGCTTTGGCACTGAGCTACCTCCCCAGCCCTTTGTTATTTTTTATTTTGAGACAGGGTCTCACCAAGTTGCTTAGGGCCTTACTAAATTGCTGAGGTTGGCCTCGAACTTGTGACCCACCTCCCTTAGCCTCCAGAGCCGCTGGGTTTACAGGCGCATGCCTCTGTGCCAGCTTCTCAGGCTCCTCATTGGAAACTGAAGTCCCATGAAAGTCTCATATGACCTCCAAACCCCTTATTGCCTTACGGATTGAATTGCAAACTCAATTATAGGTCGGAGTCCTGGCTTCCAGTTCTACAGAATGTGACCTCTTTTTGTGCAGACAGTAATTAAGATGAGGTCATACTGGAATAGGGTGAGAAGCCCTTATGAAGATTGAGAACAAGCCAAGGAGCTACAGAAGCTAGGAGAGAGGTTGGGACAGACCCTCCCCTAGAGCCCCCAGAGAGACAGGCCCTGCTGATCCCTTGACCTCAGACTCCCGGCCTCCAGAACTGCAAAACAAAGAATTTATGTTATTCTGAGCCATGGCTGTGTTACAGAAGGCCCAGAAAACCAGTGCAGCGTGGCCCAGGACAGTACAGCCTCCTTTCTAGGGTTATGGCCTCCTTTTCCCTGGAGGAACTCTGGCCACACTGATCTCAGGAAGTTATTTGTGGGTGAGCCTTGGTGGGCTGCTCACTGGTTAGGTGTCTCAGATTGCAGGGAAGAGACAGACGGTGAGTCACAAGGATATCTGAGGCTGTGGGCCGTTGGAGAAGCCCCCCACTCCTACTTTAACCAAAGCAGATGTGTAGAGACTCCATAGAAGACCCAAGATTTGACCCCCTCCTGGAGGACCCTGAGGTTCAAGGATGTTTCTCCAGGGTAATTTCCACCAGCAGAGTGCAGATGCATGACTATTCATAAAGCACTTGGAGCCAAGCTGGCCCACCATGGGTGCTAGGTCAGCATTGCTTCCTGGCCTGGGTAGGAGACGGCTTCCCTTGAGTTCCAGCTTTCAGATAATTGCTTTCCATTTACACACTGGACCCTGGTCTCCTTCTCAAGTGTGGTGTCTTCTCTTGGACAAGCCCTGTCGACAAGTATGAGCAAACGAGACAGTGGGAAAGCCCCCTGCTTCCCTTCTTAATCAGAAACGTCGAGGGCCAGCAGTAAAGGCTTCATGGATTCGTCAAGACACCACTAAAAATCAGCGAGTCTATGAGAGAAACTCTAGATGGATGGATGGTGGGATAGACAGACCGTTGAGTGGATGGATGGGTGGATGGCCAGGTGAGGGAGGAATCTGCCTGGACTCAGGTAAGACGGTAAAGTGAGGGGTGAATTCCACAGAAGGTCTACGCACATGGGGAGAGAGAGGATTCTGGAGGATGTTAAGTGTATGTTTGTGTGTCCTTTTGATCCTCCTCGAATAAGGACTACATGATAGATTGAGATTTTATACGTTTAATATTCCCTCCCAACTCCGTGGCGCTTTACATCTGGATAAAAGGAGCTATAAATCTCTCCAGGCGGAACGTGCCTCGGCCCTGCCCGTGCCCCGTCTCGCTGAGATCTCACTTGGAAATACAGCTCCACAGTCGATGATGAATCATAGCGTCTGTGGAACAGTCCAGATAAGGGACAATTTGCATTTTCATGTGATAATTTGCTACTCTTGGCGTTTTCAAATTACTTTAGAGCCACATTAATTCTGTTGCAGAGACTGCCACTCTGTGCCCAAGTGACCGGGTGATGGGGATTCGAGTGGCAGGTTTGTTGGGCTCCTGGGGAGAGCACGCGCTCCCGCCCTGTAGGTGACACCAGGCTTCTGGGAATCCAGCCTCTGGGTCCCACAGAGCGGAGCGCGTTGGTCACAACTCCTGGGAAAGGGCTCAGCTCCAAACCTGGCTTGGGTTTTCATCCGGTGTCTGCACAACAGTTGCTTTATAATAATAATAATAATAATAATAATAATAATAATAATAATAATAATAATAATATAAATCACTCCACCTGCGGAGGAGACTTCCCCTCGGGTAGCTCTTTCTCCCTCTCTGTTTCAGAAACCGTTTGTGCTGGGGGACACTGGTGGCAGCCAACACCATCTGGCTCCTGTAAAAGGGGGTCTTCCAGGGAGAAGGGGGATCTTGCAGGAGTTCTCCCTCCGGCTGTTGAGCTCCCCAGCTCTGCAGAGGAAGCCACTGTTTGATGCCTGTCTGCTGACATATTGGTGGCCCCCGCTACTTCAAAGAAACCCCCAGTGGCCAAGGGGACCTGTCTACCGCCCAGCCACAGGGAGCTCTGGCAGAAGGGAAGAATGTGAAATGACAGAATCAGCCCTGATGTCTTCAGTCGGGCCACTCTCCTGGAAGAGCTCCAGAGACACCTCACAGTCTGACGCCATCTCCTCCCGCTGCCCCGTCTAACCTTGACAGTCCGGGAAGCGCTCAGGGCTCCCAGCAATGCTTCTTGCTACATACAGTGCAAAGCCATTTCCTTGCCCGGAAGCCCAGAAGAGCCATTCTCCAATTTTCCAGGCTGCACACCTCTACGTCCCTTAAACAAATTCTCAGAATGCTATCCAATAAGTTAATGAGGAGCCTTTTAAAAATGAGAAGAATTTCTGTTTCTCCATCCTAATTTACATTTGCCCATTTCCTGAGGTTCTGTTCTATTAAACTTTAATTTGCTCCCCTCTCCTTCCAGTCCTTTCTGAAGTCTGATGTTGGAGTTTATTTCCGTGTGGACCAGAATCTCTTGGGCTCTAATAGATGACACTTATGGGCAGGCAGGAAGAACTTTGTCCCCCCAAATGATTTTCAGAGTTTCACCTGCCCAGGGCAAGCTCTTCTAAAATAAGGGCATGGATTTGGATGATGGGTAAATTGCAGTATTATTTTTTAAAGTTGCATTTATTCTTATGATAATATTCTTTTATGCCCACTTATAGCAGCTGTGAATTTAAAATTGCTTTTTTTTTTTGCTCTGTTGTGGTAAGAACACCTGATCTGAGATGGACCTTCTTAAAATCTGAGGGTACGTAATACCGTATTGTTGACTGAAAGAGCAGCATCATTCAGCAGCTCTCTGGAGCACATTCATCCTGCTTACCTAAAACTTCACTCTATTGATTAGTAACACTCATTTCCTCCTCTTGCCAACCCCTGGCAGTTACGGTTCTGTTCTTTCACTCTTTGAGTCTATGGATTTGACTCTTTTAGAGAATTCATACAGGGATGCTAATATATTCTTGAGATTTTGATTTCAATAGTTTTGGATAAACACTCAGAAGTGGGATTGCTGGAATCCATGGTGGTTCTACTCTTCATTTTGTGAGGGACCTCCACCCCGTGCTGTCTGGCACAGTACCCACTGACCACGGACAAGGCTTCGAGTTCTCCACATCCTCATTTGTGTGGATTGACTTTTTTCTTGTCTTTGTTTTTTGACAGTAGCCCATCCTGACAGGTGTGGGAGGATATTTCATTGTGGTTTCCATTTTGATCTCCATGATGATTTCTGACGGTGAGCGTTTTTCCTGTGCCCAAGGACAACCCCTTCTTTTGAGATGGAGTCTCAGTGTTGCCCAGGCTGCCTCCAACTCTGGAACTCAAGTGCTCCCTCCTGCCTCAGCCTCTTGAGTAGGGGGGACCACAGATGTGCACCACTGTGCCCCACTTCCCATTAACCCTTTGTATGTTTTCTTTGGAAAAAAGTCTTAGCTCCTTTTGATTTGTACTTTCACGACTGAGTTGTTGCAGGAGTTCTGACACATTTTGGAGATGAACACCTTACCAGACACAGGTTGCTGTCCCCCAGGTCTCCTCTTCACGGTTTCCCCTTCTTTGGGCTAGTTTTTCACTTTGTTGATTATTGTAATTTTGTCCTTAAGGATGAATTATCTGAAAAGGAAATTTGCAAAATAATCCCAATTATATAGCTCTAAAAATAATAAAATACTTTGGAACAAACTTAATGAAGGATGTGAAAGACTTTTATAGTGAAAAGTATAAGTCATTAATGGAGGAAATAAAAGAAGACATGTTCGCATGCACGCGCGCGCACGCACACACACACACACACAACCTCCTCTGCTCATGGACTGGAAGACAATATTGCTCAAATGTTCTCATTATACAAAGCGATTTTCAGATTCAATGCAATTTTGTTCAACATCCCAATGTCATTATTTTTGTTATTTATAGAAATAAAAGAAAACAAACAAACAAAACAAAGCAAAGCAATTCTGCAATTCATATGGACCCACTGTGGACCCTGAACAGCCAAACCAATCTTGAAAGAACAAAGCTGGAGGCATCACACTTTCTGATTTCAAAACAGATTACAAAGCTACAGTCATCAAAACAGGGTGGTACTGACGTAAAGACAGATATGGAGACCAATGGAATAGAGCAGAGTGTCCAGAAATAAATCCACCCTATACCACCAACCGATCTTCAACACGGGTGTCAAGAATGCACAGTGGGAAAAGGATGATCTCTTCAGTAGAGGATACTGAGAAAACTGGATATCTGCATGCAGAAGAATGAAATTGGATCTTTAATGTACGCTGTGCACAAACATCAAGTCTAAATAACCCTGGTGCAAGACACAGGGGAAAGGCATCACAGCATTGCTCTTGGCAATGGCTCATGGCAACGAACACAAAACTAAGCAGAAAGGACATCATCAAAGTACAAAGCTCAGCGGGCAGGAAGCAGCAGCAGTTCACTGAACGACTTCTGCGGACTTCTCTGTACCTGTGAGCCGAGGGCAGGTGGCTGGGGGCAGGGGCTTGAGTCCTATGGTCCAACTTGGATCTTTAAAACACAAAGAAGACACCGAAATGTGGAATGCCTTTGGGTCCTTAGAAAGAGGGACCAGAAAGGAAATACATTAGGTCAAGCTGAAAACTGTCATTTTTATAGGTTCAAAATAGTTGAATATTACCAATTTCATATGATTCAACCTAATATAATCACATCTCATTAATTCAGTCTAATCTGGGGAAGCTTGATCTGATCTCCTGAAAGTTTGAATCGTGGGATCATTTTAAATAGATGGGACTTTCCTACAACCAAGTGCCAATGTGAACAGGAGAGGGGCCCACAAACTGAGGCTGGCTACCCTGGGTGAATAAAGACAATTTATAATGACAAACTGATATGTTGGGTAATAGGTGCCTTAATCTAAGGCAGTTGTACTTGAGATTACTTGAGCAGTTTCTTCTTTTAAGTACCTTTAAATTCCTTCTGATTTGTACGTAGGATTAGCTCCTTTACAAAACCTTGATGAATTCAATTAATTAATTAACTAATTAATTAATTAATTGACTTTTGGTATTGGGGATTGAACCCAGGGGTACTTAACCACTGAGCCTCATCCCCAGCCTTTTCTATTTTTTATTTTGAGACAGGTTCTCAATAAGTTGCTCAGGGCTTTACGAAATCACTGAGGCTAGCCTCAAACTTGTGATCCTCCTGCCTCAGCCTCCTGAGTTGCTGGAATTATAGGCATGTACCACCACACCTGACCAAAATCTTATTTTAAACAAGGCAATTTACACAGCCAATTCACTTGTCTGAATTATTTCTTATTCCAAAACAGTGAATTCCAAAAGAACGATATTTGACTACTCTATTCCTGACCTCAAAGATAAACACCAGGTTAATGAAAATCAACGGAGGTCAGCACTCACCAGTATCAGGGCAGGGGGATATATTGGACAGAATACACAGGACTTGAAAAATGACGCTGGTTTTCTTGCACCCTTCATATGTTGACTCTGAAGGCAGCTCCAGAGACCACGTTCAAATCGTGTCCTCAATGGTTGTCTCCAGGAACATCAGAAAACATGAAATCAGACAGCAACATTGAAAAGAAGTACTTCAAGGAGCAACGCTAAAGTGAATGTACAAATTCCACCTGTTTATAGGGAAAAAAAATGCTTGTGTTTGCTGGATCTCCTGAAAAAATATGGAGGGTCCTTGACTGACAGCGATTCAACTTAGGATTTTTCGACTTTACAAGGTGTACAAGTGCCAGGCACCGAGTGGAAACCATATTTTGAATGTTGCATTCTCATCTTTTCCCCGGCTAGTGATGTGGCCTGTGATCCTCTCGCAATGCTGGGCAGCAGCAGCAGGCCACAGTTTCTACACAATCACGAGGGGAAGTCACCGTGGCTCATGGTGGACCGTCTCGTGAAAGTCTGACGTGCCACAGTTTGGGCGCGTTCAACGCGTTCTTGCAATTCAATATTTTCAACTTGAGGCAGGTTTATCAGGATACATTCCCATCCTAATTTGGGGAACATCTGTACTTATTCTTACAAAAAGATTTGTGGAGGTTCCTTCTGGATAATGGTATTTTGTTCATGATTTTTAAGTTTATTTGCAGGACGCGATCCATTCTCTGCTTACCTGACGTGCCTAGGTAGCTGGGCAGGTAAGGGAGAGGGGTGGGGCCTGGCGATCAGGTGACACTTGCTGGAGGCCTGCCGTGTGCCCAGGATGGTGCTAGGAGCCAGGATATAGAAACAGGACAGGGTTCCCATGCTCCAGCTGCTCTACTGGGAAGCCAGATGTGTAAACAGATAATTAGAGCACAATGTAATTAGTGCTAATGGAGGCGTGTGCAAAGAGCTCTGGGCTGGAGGGGAGGAGTGGCTGCTCAGCCTCACTCCTAATCCTCCAGCTGTGCCCAGACAGTTAATGTCGCTGCTGCACCTGCAGAAAAGAGAGTTTGCCCACGAGATTGGAGCTGCGTCACTCCAGTATGTCCTCACTCAGATGCACGCGCACATCCCATATGCGCTTCCACACCCTGGAAGCCTCCTCCTCAGCCCTGTTCTCCCCTCTGCCCTGGACCGCCTCTGCCCTGGCCCAGGTGCTGTGTGTCCCAGTCAATGCCCATCCAGGCAGGCTGGGTAATGGTGGAGGTGAATTCCTCCCTCCCACTCTCATCCTTCCTGGTGCCTTTTCCTCACAGGCTGCAGGCAGCCTCGTGGCCCGACAGTCACCATGGCAACAGGTCTCTCTCTCCATCTTCCAGGAGTGCAGGGAGCTTCCCGCAGGAGCGCCGACCTTGACCAGTGGCCCAGCCAGGACTCTGGCTGGGTGGATCCTTTCAAGGTCGGCATTTTTTTCTAGGTATCAAGAGTGTCCTAGGAGCACATGGACATAGGGAACCATTGGTCCACGCTGAACCTGTAGGCTGACCATGGAATTGAAAAAGCCACGGGCAGGGGCCTGGGGTGGTGGCTCAGCAGTGGAGCGTTTGCCTAGCACGTGCAAGGCCCTCAGCACCACTTAAAAATAAATAAAATAAAGGCATTGTGTCCAACTACAACTAAAAAATAAATATTAAAAAAAAAAAGCCAAGGGCAGGAGTGGTTCAGAGGGAAGGTGCCTAATGAAGTCCTAAATGTCCAGGTGGTCAGCTTCCAGAGACAAGATGGGCACACAGGAGAGATGAGTTGGGAACTGGTTCTGGACAAATTAGAGCATGTTTACTGTGGGGTAACCAGGATGGTGGAGTCTCAGGTGGGGTGTGAACACATAGACTAGGGATGCCTAGACTGGAGAGGAAGAATACCAGAGGACAAGCTCACTGACCAGATTTTGTACAGAGAGAGGGGGCAGATGTGATCTGTGGGGTTCCTGTGCATGGCTGGACTGACGGTGGGAGATAAGAGGCCACTGAGGTCCCCTCCCCTCTTACATGCTCCTGTAAAACCTCCACCTTGGAAGCCTTCAGGGCGGGAGGAGACCCTCTGAGGAGGTGAGCTCCTGTCCATGTGGGAAACCTCGCGTTGGCTAGATGGCCCTTGGACGTTCAAGGAGGAGACAGGGCGTTCCATCTAAATCTGTCTGGCCTGCCACTG